AGTCTTCTTTGATTTTCAACTCTTGGTTTCGCATCAGGTTCTAGACTTATCCTATGACTACACAAAGTTGGGTCAAGACCCTTAATGTCTGCTAAAGTCCAGCCTATGGCCTCACTGTGTTCCTTTAAAACTCTCAATAACATTAATTCTTGTGGTTCAGTTAAAAGATTTGATATGATCACAGGAAGTGTTCCATTTTCACCCAAAAAAGCATATTTAAGATGAAGAGGCAACTCTTTAAGTTCAATTTCAGGTGGATAAATCAAAGAAGGAAGTGGTTTTGTCTTAGGGATTTCCAAATTCAGTTTTAAAACAGTTTTAACCTCTTCCACAGAAGACAAATTTTCAGCATAAAAGCAAACATCATCGGGAAGTGAAAAATTTAATTTTTCAATCTCAAAAGGGTCTAAACTTTCAGTTAAAACAGTGTACAGAGCATCGTCATTTGATTTACTGAAAACTTCTTCAGTGATTTTATCAATTACATCCATAGCAAAGACTTGATTTTCGTCATGAGGGTGTTTCATTGCTTCAGAAAGACTAAATTTATTTATCTCACCATCAAACTCCATTGTTAAAGTACCCCCGTGCACATCAATTTTAGCCCGGGTTGTTTTCAAAAACGGTCTTCCCAACAAAATGGGAATGTCGGTTTTATCAACTCCCATATCCAGAATGTAAAAATCAGCAGGAAAAATGAAGTCATTTACTCTAACCAAAACATCCTCTAAGATCCCCTCAGGGTAGGTGTGGCTCCTATCTGCTAGTTGGATCACTACCCCTGTTCTTTTTAGGTCTCCAATGTGGAGTTGTTCAAAAATGTCCTTGGGCATCACATTTATTGAAGAACCTAAGTCTAACATTGCCTTGTCAAATTTTAGACTCCCTATCTGACACGGAACAGTAAAAACTCCAGGATCCTTACACTTTTGGGGTAATTTATTCTGAAAAACAGCACTAATATTCTCACTCATCAACACCTTTTCAGTCCCAGAAAGCTTATTTTTATGAGTACAAAGTTCTTTAAGAAATTTAGCATATTTGGGAACTTGTCTGATTGCTTCTAAAAGAGGGAGGTTTATTTCCACTTTTTTAAAAGTTTCTAACATCTCTTGATCTAACTCCTTCGCCTTAGGTTGTTGACTTAGAAACTTACTGGGAAAAGGGGCTTTTTGATTTTTAAACTCATTGATTCTATTTTGAAAATCAATTCCTTTCTGTTTTTCAACCTGAGTGATTTCATTTTCAACAAAATCAGCATTATTATTTTCAAAAGAAACTTGATTTGGATGAAGTTCTTTCTCCCTTTCTTCCCTACTGACAAAACTAGGTTCCTGCAGTTTTTTCTTATTTCGAAGCTCAATTGCACTCAAATTCTCTTTAGGGTTCAAAAATGGTTGAGAAGGAAACCTATTGTTAAGTTGGGCTTGCAAATTACTCACTGTAACTTCAGTGGCAGATTGTTTTTCTTGCATTTGCTTAAGAGTTTGGTCAAAACCGGAGAATTTGTCATCCATTTTCTTAAGAATCTGTTCTAAAAGTTGAGTGTTTTTATCAAAAGAGGGCTGTTGTGATGGATTGTTAAAATTCTGAAAATTACCCCTAGGAGCCTGGTAGTTCTGCCCATTACCATACCTAAGGTTAGGGTGGTCTCTCCATCCCTCATTGTAAGAATTAGAAAAAGGATCGTATTTTCTTTGATTAGCATTTACCTCGGGGTGTTGCAAAGTCGGACAAGCATCAGTAGGGTGTCCTTCCAAGCAACAAACCCCACAAGGTTTTCCCTTAACCCCTCCGACAGTTGTAAGTTGTGAAATGGCATTGGTAAGTTCAGTAAGTTTGTTTTCAATAGAAGAATTACCAATTTCATTCACTTTCTTCACTAATGTTTCCCTAGTACCAAACTGTTGGGTGTTCTGAGCAATCAAATTAAATAATTTCCTAGCTTGTTCAGGTGTTTTATTAACCAAGGCACCCCCACTGGCAGCATCCACGTTGCCCCTCTCAGTAGGAAGTAACCCTTCATAAAAATATTGGATTAAAAGTTGTTCAGAAATCTGGTGTTGAGGACAGGAGGCACAAAGTTTGTTAAATCTTTCCCAATATTCAGAAAAATTCTCCCCAATCATTTGTTTAATCCCACATATTTCTTTCCTAATTGAACCTATCCTAGAAGCTGGAAAATATTTTTCTAAAAATGCTTTGTGTAGAGCATTCCAAGTAGTGAAAGAACCGGCTGGCATGTAGTACAACCAGTCCTTTGCCTTATCAACTAAAGAAAACGGGAAAGCCCTCAACCTAATTTGGTCTTGAGCAACCCCTTCAGGCACCATAGCACCGCAAGTAATCAAAAATTCAGAGATGTGCCTAAAGGGATCCTCTCCAGGAAGACCATGGAATTTTGGAAGTAAATTTATGAAGCCAGAATTCAGTTTTAAAGGTTTCTCTAGCTCAGCATATGTGATGGAAAGCGGTTGAACATTTAGGTTAGGGGCTGCCAATTCTCTTAAAGTTGTCATCTTTGGTTCAGAATTTATTTCGAAAAGATTATCAAAGATGCTATCAGAACAAGAATCAAACAAATCAACAGCAAGCAAATTGGCAGGTCTATCCTCAGATTCAGCAACAAACTCGCTATTAAAAGATTTGGGTTCAGACACACTTGCCTCAAAGTTGCTACCGTTTACCTCTATATCACCAATTACTCTTCCACTCCTCAAGCGCATGCAAAAATCAGTTAGCTGCAACTCAAAGAGAATACACAAGTATTAGAATTCTTATACTTCATTTAATGTCAAATAACTACTGAGCAAATAACAAACAAGCAAGCAATATTGTCTTTTTTTTAAAGAAAATCAGCACCTTTAGTAATAGGGGAATTCAAATTTCTGCTCTCTTGTTTTTTTTTAAAGATAACAAAGTGAATTAGTTGATCAGTTGACTTTACTTTAATAAAAAAAATCATTTTAATGAGACTCCCTAGTCTGAATAAAAATCTGCAGTAATGCATCTTTGAAAACAGTCTTTTTAAAGTGCTTTTGGGCAAGTTCTCATTAAAATAATTGCATGTTTCAAAGGAAAGAAGTCAGTACAGTTAGTTCCTACTTCTCTAATTGTTACTAGTTAGCAATATAAAAATATTTTGATCAAACTTGGACTAGAAACTCCTTTTAACACCATTTTCCTAAAAATATTTAAGCTCCCAGAACCTTATTTGTTCAAAATCTGCATTTAGTGGAGTAAAAGATTGATTTTAAAAACTGTCAGTAACTCTATATTTTTTTAGTAAAAAGTTGGCCAACGGAAAAAAAAACATAGGGACTCATAACAAACTTGATTACAAACAAGACACAAATGCACCTAGGGACTGACTTAGACTTTTAAAAAAACTGACTTTTTAAGCTATAATAACCAACATAATAAGAAAGACTTTTTTTAAGTGTTTTTTTAACAATAAGCAAACCAATTCTCATTTAAAAAATTATCTTTCCCCGGCAACGGCGCCAAAATTTGTTAGGCGTGTCGTAACACATAAAAAATTAATTTATTCTTTTCCTTTACTCAATTCCTTCTTGTAAAAAATAATATTTATTAAATCTATAGATAGGATAAGTAAGAGTCGATCCCACGAAGAAAGACATTTTTTAGGCTACGAAAATCGGTTTCCTTTGTCACTTTTTATTGAGTGAAAACAACTATCTAAAATCTATAAACTAAATTAAAAGATGGGGGGTTTGAAAATTGTTTTCTAAATAAAGTAAAAAACTAACTAAAGTGACACACCACACCAGAACAAATATCAAAACAAACCAAGGATAAAAACAGAACATAACTCCACCAAAAAGCCCAAACGAAGAAGACAAGCACACATAACACAATAATCTAGAGACTTAAACAATTTTAGAAAACCAAAAAAATGTTTTATAATATAGAAAATAAATATCCAGGATCAAAACTTTGTTAAAAACTAGCATAATCATCAACCAACTATAAATTAAAACAAGGGTCCGGCTGAAAAAGAGGTCCACCAACGGTTCTTTCCTATTTTCCCATTCATAAAAGCTCATGTTAGGACCAACCCTAACTCTAAACCCTACTACCCTTAGCAACCCAAAGACCAACCCTTAGATTACTACTAAGAATAGTGCATTAAGATTTGTGGAAAACATCACCGTAACAATCTTG